TTTTTTTTTTTGTTGTTTCATTATTGCTCTCTTTCACATACATATGGTATGGTTAAGAGGTTTGCATTAGAGAAACACACAACACACAAAAACACATAGTGGAAGTGCATCCGTGTGCAAGCGTTTAACACCCGTCGCATATATATATATACGATCATTTATGAACATATTTCAACTATGTATGAACAGATGTCTTACCATTCAATCAATGCATATGTATATATGATAATGAGCGCGGTTGCTGACTCGATTATGTGAACAATCAAATAAAAACTCCAAATAGATATAATAAAGTAGTAAGAACATCCTTGCGCTGAGACCTAGGAACACATACACATATACGAATAACTACCCAACTCCGCAATTAAACGATTTAAGATTCACATTTTTAATTTGTCGATGAAACTAGTGGCATTTTCAAGCACTTGTGCTTGTTCCAGCGTAAATTTGCATCGTTAAGAAACGTTTAATATCTGCTTAAACAAATCGATTTGAAGAATTCTTAAATTATGACTTTTCCCATAAGTATCAATGAGAAATGTAAGAGAAGTAAGCAAATTATATTCGCTCGTGACCCGCTACCGTTACGCTTAAGAAAACCTAACTCAATTTTCATATTCTATATAGCATTGAGCGCGAGCTGCAGATTTTTGCTGTTTTCAAAATGAAACTGAAATTTTATGTGGGATAAGGATTATCATTAACGAGCAAAAGACATAGAAAAGAAAGTGTTGTCAGCTTGTAGTCGTCTTTGATACGTTAAAATGTATTTACAACCTGCGAGAGTATAACATACATTGTAAGCTTTGTTCAGAGCTATACAAAAGCTGAGGGGATAAGACTCCCGACTGCTATTAGTGAAACTGGCATAAAACTGATCAGCGATAAAGCAAACGGGAATGCTTGCCTTGGGTTTAAATGCGTCAAAGAGATCAATAATTCTTTTCCTTTTTGATGAATTAAATGTTCTGAGACTCGCTAAAGAAAATGAAAATTATTGCTTGCGCAGCGTTACCTGGAAGGCTTCTATGTAAACAGTAAAAGGACGATGAAAATGAATCAATCGCTTTGTAATGAGGTTCATGTGTGTGTGTGTAGTACATCTTGTAAACAATGTTTTCAGTACATACCGAGTAGTAATGTGTGCTTTGGCAGGAAAAGTAAGCCTTGACAGTCTGAAATATATTTTCGGAAAATTGTGATTTTCAATAGAATTAATGAAAGGAAATTTGAGCAGTGAACAAGACAATGATGTGTGGAGAAGGAGGCTACGTCAGAAGCAACTGACTAGCTGGGATGTCAATGCCAATATTTATGTATTGCGCTGAAGGAACACATATATAGGTAGCAAGTGAACAGATAGACAAAATATCTTTCAGGACATGCTTCAGATATGTCTCACGATATACTGTATAAGTAAATATGTTTATAAAATATGATAGGAAAAAAGTTTAATTTCTCTAGCTCAGCAATACTTTCCCTTAACCAGTCTATCGCAAGCTTTCATATATATCACACAGAAATTCTAGGGCAGAAGCATCCTATTTACAAAACCCTGAGGTTAAATTTTCTGCAGATCGCAGAATATTTTAAAAGAAGAGATTAGTTAGAGGTTGGGAAACTGATGTTTGAAAATATTGTGCACGCCAGTTACCGGGCGTATAAGAACTGGAAATTTTAAACCTAACCGCAAGGCGGTTCCGATTATTTTGCTCACAAAGAAAGAAGGAAGCGTTTAAAGCGGCGTAAGTTATGATTAAAAATGATTGTTTAACGTTTTGTGCTTTATACATGTGCATATATTCTCATTTATAATACATATATATATATATATATATATATATAATATATGATAATGTAAATAGGGAACACGTTTTATGCCATATCTCAATGGTGGTAAAATATATTAAACATATTCGAGTGTGAATATTTTATATTAAATAAAGATAAATTAATTAATTAATTAATTAATTATAAAAGTTTTCTTCATATTTGTATAGAGAATTCTCACTAAAATTATTTGAAGCATTGGTCGAATGGAACGAGTTTTATTTGCCACCTACTCGGGCCGTGTTTTTTTTTCACGTTTATGCACTTACATGTAT